TAATAAAGTAAAATACATGCTGTTTTTTTATCTTGCTGTTATCTATATAGTATAACAAGTACTGAAATGTTTCCGTTTCGTATAGTCTAATAAGTCTATAGATGTATTGTTTGATGATAAAATGTCTTAAGTTATAGGATATAGGTTTATTAGCTTTGGAAGTGTGATAGTCCCTATCATGAACGTCGCGAATGTAACGATTGCATATGTCTGATACAAACATATTGAGCTATAAATTCTACGCTGTCGGTGGCCAACGCTCGAACCTCAAATTTTTCTATTTTATCTCCTAGTATATGTTCGTGGCCCATAAAGATAAACAAACATTTTATGTTTATGTGGCGTTCGGAAATATTCCATAAATTGCTACGATTTGGGATTTTGCGATTGAAAACCGAAATGATTTGTGCGATGTCGGGCTATTTGCCAACCGAGCGCGCTAGCCGCTGTTATTTTGACAGAATATGATACCTCTACACTTTTCAGCCGTAATACATAATGCGCGCATTGTAATCATATACATATCGTTTAATTTAGCTTCAAAAACTTGATAAAAAATCAAAATTGCTGTATTTTGTTAAATGTGCGCAGCATGTTGTTTCGACACTGTCGCTCACACACGGAAACACTGCAAGGCTGCAAATATGTCACACAATCATCCTCATATAGACGCTGACTACGCTCGTTTGTTTTAAACCAACCAAAATAGCTTCCTAGTCTAACGCTGCTACGCAAATATTTTCTGTTCGTTAAATTTGTAGTTTAGCTATATTTTCAGGTCTTTCAGTCTCAGTGTCGTGTTGAAAGCTTCGAACACATGTACTTAGGTCTATTTCTAAATAACGGACCACCAGCCGCATGGATTTCGTATATCGCAAGAAAGCAACTAAACGTTTATATCAAAAACTTTATTTTAAATAATACAGTACTATTTATCGCTTAAACGTCCCCTGCACCGCAATAGTACCTACAGATGACTAATTGTTTATATAATGCTGGTTGCGCCGTACGCGCAAGTTTGATTTTTGTTCTGGCGCCTGGCGGATTGAATTGCAAATGATCCAAATGATCCACAAAAAGCAAATGATCCACAAAAAGCAAATGATCCAAATGATCCTCAAAAAGCAAATGATCCAAATGATCCACAAAAAGCAAATGATCTACAAAAAGCAAATGATCCAAATGATCTACAAAAAGCAAATGATCCAAATGATCCACAAAAAGCAAATGATCTAAATGATCCGCAAAAAGCAAATGATCCAAATAATCCACAAAAAGCATGAGCCAAATGATCCACAAAAAGGAAATGATCCAAATGATCCACAAAAAGCAAATGATCCAAATGATCTACAAAAAGCAAATGATCTAAAATGATCCACAAAAAGCAAATGATCCAAATGATCCACAAAAAGCAAATGATCCAAATGATCCACAAAAAGCAAATGATCCAAATGCACCAGCCAAAAAGCAAAAGATCCGAATGATCTACAAAAAGGAAACGATCCAAATGCACCGGCCAAAAAGCCTGACGATCCAAAACAAATAGGTAGCTAAAACTAGTATTATTTAAAAAACAAAGACCAAAGTGAAATGATATAATTCCATTATTTGCTATTGGTGTGACGTCACTCTTGACTTGTGACGTCACCCGTGACTTGGTATATCGCGCATAAACCAAAAAAGTGGGGGGGCTAAAGCCCCCCCAGCCCCCCCCGTCTCCGCGGTCCCTGTTGTGGTGTTAAAGACTGCGCTATTTTGCAAAGGTATTTTGTATATATATACATAAAATAGATGAAAATTACACAAAACTGCTGATACTACATTAAAAATTAAAATTTCTATATAAATTTTCTTAAAAAATATAAAATATATAATTATTTGAAAAAAAATTAAATTAATTATCCGGGATATCAGATAAGTCAACACGTGATCAAAGTGTTTCAATATGGTCTCTTTTCCGGGGATTTTTATGGCTCCTTTTAAATTTGCAATTTTTTGATTTTTTACCACTGTAAACCTGGTCTGAAGGATCAAAGCTCAAAAGAAAAGGTTATTTTAATGATAAGTATTATTTGCATATTTAAATATTCTTTATCCTGTGGAATGAAACGTAATATATCGAATATTTTTGTTGCATTTTGCGTCTCCAGAGTGAATCATTTTTAATGTCGACGTTTTGGTTAATTGTCTTTATTCAATGTTTTGTTCAAACAATTGGCAATGACTTATGAATAATACTTTGGCACGGGTAAGTTAACGATGCATGATATAATTATAAACAATATACTTCAGGACTAAATGGATTATTGACTTCATATGTCAAATATGTATAATATACACACACATACTCGGAATAAAAGCTTTCCTATTTCGTAAAATTGGCAACGTTTATAACACTAGATATTTTGCTATGCTGGAATTCAAATTATTGTGAATACAACAATTTCAAAACGTAGGAAGTCGCTTCTTTTCAAATTTCGCTTTTGTTTTGAATTCAATGGCTATGTCTACATTCGCACCTTTGGTGGTATTTTAAAAACAGACGGCTACAGCTGTAAGAGCACAATTTCTTTGCTTTTGTGACTCTGTTGCTGAAACAAATAATTTTGAAAGGAAATAGGAGGAAATATATATTAAACTTTCTTTTATATGCCAGCTGTTTCAAATTAATTCAAAATTTGTACTTGGCATATTTCTAAGTTTATACTATTGATATATATAATTTTATGACATGTATAATTTGGGAGGAACAGTCAAATGCAACTTGTCAAAAATGACCCAGTGCGGATACATGATTTTCCATGAGCCATTGGCTGATACAGTTGTACAAGGTTATTAATTTCCCATGTTGTAGTTTGACGTAAAGTGCATTTGATTTTCAAAACTCTTACCAAAATTTTAGCAAATTTTTCAAGAAATGAAAGAAAATAACTTCCCACCTACTTTATTGTAACCTATTGAGCACCTGTGCTCTCCTCTTGACAAGTAAAATTATCTGGTTTTAGACAGAATAAAACAATAAAGTAGGCCGCATTTGGGGGTAAATATTCAGGCCAGCCTTGCCTCACATCCGAAATTAGTATTCTATTGCCTTCCTGAGTAAAAGATTACAAAAACATAAACAAGACATTCTATTATGTCTTAAGGCCCGTTTAAGGCCTTAATGTTAACCCATTAAGTTGCATTGCACCCTACTTTATTATTCTACTCTATCTAATGCCAGAAGATTTTACTCGTCAAGGGGAGAACACTAGTTGACTAGTGCTCAGTGGGTTAATCTAGGATGCCCACATTGGGTATTCTTTTGATATTTTAACTCTTTACTAAAGCTCAAAGATGGACCATGAATTGCTTCACAATGATCGAGGAGACTATGATCTGAGATTGAGTAATAAAGTGAAGAAAGACAAAGATAAGACTGAACCAGGTTAGGTCTTAAGCGATACGTCACTGCCGGCAATAGAAGCTATGTATAGTACATCTTTTGTTGGGGTATATTGGTAGCACTGAGACTTGGGTTAAGGCCAGTTTACACTTGCAATTTTTGCTGTGATTTGAACGAGTATTTTGATGGAAGTGAAACAAGTAGATGAATTATCATTGTTCTGAGTATATATGTACTCTCATCTGAACATTCATAACAAATTCATATTCATCAGAAGAATTGAAAATCACACCGAAAATCACTGCAAAAATTGCAAGTGTAAACAGACATTTAGATTCCTGCATTGTGCAGTTATGTGATTCACAGGGAAAAAATGAAATAGCCATTAATAAATAATGGTGAATAATTAAACATAGTTTTTTCCAATTGCATGTCAAGAATGCTTCCTGTTCTCTACCAAATGCTGATGGTTTTACTATATGTATTTCGCTTTTCTCCAGCAGTAACAGTGGATGGTTGTTACTCTTAATTTCTATTTCTGAACAGGTCCCTAATCAGGCTGTCCAAAATTGCGGTAATCAAACCTGGGTTACCACCGTGTTGCAGCAAACTTTGTTTTGCGGCAACTTAATTTGGTTTCCCTAAAGTAAGGCGTAAAAAAAAAACTGGTTCCGGTTTCATATTGTGAAAAAATTAGGGTCGGTAGGTCGGAAATAATTTTTTTTTGAATATTTTTTTCATGGTTTTGGCGGTTTTTTGCTGGGCGATTTGCAGTAGAGTCCCAACATCAATATTAACTAGAGATGCGTATTTCCTATGGACGAATTTAGGCAATTGGTTCAATAATTAGTGTGACAACAGACGCCATTTTGGCACGCTGTACGAGCAGCCCGCAACCACCTGGAGAAAATAGTGTCGCACGGTCAATTGCGTTGAAAAAATAATAGGGTCGGTCGGGAACCGGAACCACAGGTATTTTTTTTACGCCTAATGTAAGTCCGTAATATGGCTGAACAGTTTAGAACTGATACATTAAAAATAAGTTACTATAGTTTAGGTTTCCTCCTGTGAGACTGGACAATTAAGAGATGTGTCTTAATGTACCTCTAGGGAGAACAGTTTAGAACTGATAAAGCTATATCCACTCAGTTTAACACAAGTTACTAGTTTACACAAATAGCACACAGAAATTTATTCTTTCAGCTGAACGCAAGAAATGGAATTTCCGAAAAACAAGTACACCTGACGCAATTGGCAGTGATGGGCCTTTTGGTCTGATCAACCAGTCGTCTGAAACTAGATCGAAGAGAACTGTTTCTCCAACCATGATATTTGAAAATGCACTTAGTGACCACGATGAACCAAATGATGTACAAGTCAAGTCACCACCAACGTCACTAAACCTCTCACAATCACTAAACCTATCACAATCCCCTAAAACTCCAAGCGTAGATCAACAACAAGGCACGAAGATAACAAGAGTAAGACAAAGGTCACTACCAACAAGTACAAGTCCCCCTGCAATGATCAACAGACCACAGTCTGTGCGAAAACCAGGAGAACGCCTTTTACGTCAAGTGTCTGTACCAGCCAGACAACATCCTCCAACAACATTGCAACAACAATCACTAACATCACCAATACAAGGTAAACTATATAGCCTCATTTGCATTCAAAGACAAATCTCCATTCTTTCATTTATTCACAGGGCTTTCAGAATTATTCTGAGTAGGTGTCTGTTTTGATAAAGTAGGTGGCTGTTGGGAGGAGGCAGTATAGTCTTAAAGTCATTAAAAATTAACTAGTGTATATTGATTGGATAGCAACACAACTGAGATCTGTAACCAAATTATAATGTATCACATACTTTCATTCTTCAACAAGATAACTTCAAGATTTAAGATGGCAAATAACTAATTAAGTCGGTTTTATGAAAAAGTATGTCGTTTCGAAAATAAACGGGCTATAAATTAGACCAGGTTGACGAAAAATAACTTGAAAGCTTAGAATGGAGAAAGGAGAGTAGAATTGATATTTCAAGCACTAAACAAAGTAACCGTCAGTAAACCTTGTGGCAACCTTATTTTGAAAGCCCTGTATTCAGAAAGGTATTATAGTGTACTAATTTCTCGACAAAGGGCCTTCGCTTGAGGTTCTGCTTGTTTTTTTTCAGGTAGTTATCTATCTGTCACAGCACAGCTGTTTATATAATTTATTGCTGTATCACTGCAAGTAGCTGTGATATAAATTATGTATATTCAACCAATTATTTTGAAATTTTTGTCTCTTTCAGAGAGACCAGATCTTACGAAAACAATCAGTGATCTACAAACAAGTAACCAATGGCAATCAGTACAACAACCATACTTCACTCCAGATAGTTTACCTAATGTAATTGAAAAACCTCAAGAAAATCAACCTCACAGAGCCAGGGCTCTCTCAGACAAAGGTCAGTAGAGCAAATTTTGTTATATGGTACATGTATTTGCATTGGACATATATTTGCATTGGAAGTGTGTTCATGTATGGTAGATTCTCATCAACCTATAAATTAATTTTTACATAGAGGTACCATTTTAAGGATATTAAGGCATTCAGACATAATCTACCTGACAGAACTGTCACATACCTGTATATGTATGTATCAATTTTACTGTAGACATAATTGTAACATTTATCATAAGAATTAATTATTGTCTACTTGGTGTAACAAATTATTACCAGTACTCTAAATTCCACCACAATTTCATGTACATTTGCCAACACATTGCTACAATCTTAAAACCATACACAATTGCAAATAAAATTTTAAAACTCTTAACATATGCCACCATGTTTTTTATGCAAATGCCACATATGGCAACTAGTTTCCAATCTCCTAATTTTTCATATGCAAAGCACTGCTAAAAAATATTGAGTTAATTTCTTACTTAACAAGACAAGTATGTAGAAGGGATCAATTCTGATTTCATGTTTGTTTAGTGAAGGTACAGGTAATCCTTTTCAGTGCATTTGGGTATCTTTGAAAATCTCCATTTTATTAGCGTGTAGTATCGAGATTGTTTTCATTGTATGATGTACTTTTTATATTGTGGCTGTGTTGTTGGTAATCATTTCAAAACAGGAAACTACTTAAATGCTACTTTAGTTTTACATTTAAGAGTTTTAAATATTGGTCAGTGAATGTTATGTTCACATGTCTGTTTCATTTACACTTTATATCCTTGTATCTTAATAATTGTTAGAACTGTACAGGGGGTATTTATTTACATGCCTGCATGTGATTGGGATAACTTTTAAAACAATTTATGAAACTCATACATACATATAGTATGCATACATAAATGATATTATTTTGAAAAATGTAACTGCATGAACTAAGGTGTTCATTGAAACGCTGTTATGATAACCCATGTTGCACATACTGAGAGCAAGTATGTAATATTCTAAGTAGCTGTTTATATGGAAGCCGGGCTGTCCCACTTAGCGAGATGTCCCAGTAAGCGAGATCTCGCTGTGTAGTTATTTGTAAAGTAAAAATCACTGTGTGTTTATATGGACAAGAAGGCATTTCTCGGATGCCAAGGTTTGCTTGAAAGTGGTGAGATCTTGCTTACCAGGATGAGCATTTATCCATACCAACACTCACAAGCGGGCTGGCCTAGTTACCAGGATGAAAGTTCAAAGATGCTGCTGCAAGATATTTTTAACAACTGTCAAAACAATGTCAAAACAAAAAAATTGTTAGGGCAAGCGGGATCATGAAATTTTCTCGTATTATAAACACAAGAGAAATTCATCCCACTAAATGGGTTGTCTCGCTAAGCAGGCCAGCCCGGCTTTCATATAAACAGCCCCTATGTCTAGTCGCAAGTTTTGTATCCAATTTATTGCACAAAATATTTTGATGCCCCCCCCCCCCCAATTGAATACTTAGATATTTCTGGTTCTATGCATTGCATGTGAACTTGGAAGATGATATAATTCAAATTCATCGAATCCCATGTACATGGAGAGCCTTATACATCTGTTTACTTTTTTCTCTTTTAGATACAACAGGAGTAGAGACAGTGGATGATAATAGGAATACAATGTGGCAAGGAAATCAAGACACGAGTCATGGTAATTGGACAGACTTTTTATCACCATCGAACGAAGTCTTTGTTCCAGATGATCGAGCTTGGGCTGGAAACGAAAATGTTGTTGTTGATGTTGAAGATGACGGTGACGTGGCTCCAGGGTGGGTTGGAAATTCTTTTTATGACATGCACTTTACATGAAATGTTTAAATTCTATGATGCAGCATGATTGCAGGTTCATCTGACCACCAGCTGGTGTCCAACATTTGTATTAAACCAGTACATTATCTCTTTCTATGTAGGAATGTAAGCCACTCATCTCGCTCTTCCAACTCGTCAGAAAGCGAAAATGAAGACACAGAGGAAAGTGTTTGGAGAATTAATGAAGAGCAGAGGGCATATTATCTTAATCAGTTTCGAATACTTCAGCCTGCTGAGAAAGGTGTTTTGGCTGGTGAGTCATATTCCAGTGACTACCTAGGGTCACTAGGCTGGGTAGTGCTATCCGGCCCTTAGATAGTGATTTTTTCAACATTTCTAAAAATGCTTGAAAAGCTGTGAAACCATGTATATGGACCTTGTAATTAGCCATTCCGAAGTTGATGAGTGGACTGGGGACGAGTGTTAAAAAGTGGCCAAATTAAGAAATTAACTAAATCACTAAAAAGACCACCTCAAAATTAGTAAGTATACAAAGTTTGAAGACGTTTACATGAATACCCTTCGAATAATAAGCTTTCTTTTTAGTGATTTGGTTCATTTCTTAATTTGGCCACTTTTTAACACTCGTCCCCAGTCCACTCATCAACTTCGGAATGGCTAATTGATAAAAACTATGCCAATCAACAGCTAAATCCAGCCTTCATATACTGTAATATATACGGTCCCAGTTATATAATTAGCTGTTGTTATTTGTACATATATATATGTATATATATATATATATATATATATATATATATATATATATATATATATATATATATATATATATATATATATATATATATATATATATATATATATATATATATATATATATATATAATACTGTGCAATAAATTCTCCCTCATTCTTGTGAAAATATGCAAGTGGTACAATCACAATACAATGACTGTTCAACTTGTCTTGATGAATAATTAGTCTCCCATCATGTGTGACCAAAGCTTGGGTTGGTTTGACCAGGTTTTCAGGATTCATTCAACTCTGCTGTTCAAACTCTATCAATTTTTTTAGGTCAAAAAGCAAGAAACTTTTTCCTGAAATCTGAATTAGCAACTGATGTCCTATCAAAGATATGGTAAACATTTTTTATCAGTTATGTGTGGTTCTGTTATCCATTGCCAGGTTTTTTTTCAGGGATTTTTTAGGATCGTAAAACGGCCCCAAAAACTCAATCTTCTCACCAAAAGATTCAGTGCAGTAAAAATGAAGTTGTTTGTTTGAGTTAAATTTGTGACATGTGGAAATTAGATTTCAGTTGGAAACCTGACAATCAGGAAAATATGGCTGGAATTCATTTCAAAACACAAGAAAAAACAACGCAATCGCCATCTTTAACCAGTTTATAGTGTCTGTTTTAACACATTACCTCTCAACTACACTTATTGGGTACACGTGTCAGCCTCCCGCAGCTACCCCTGACCCACAGCTGTTCAGCTAAACTCAGTCTTCTCTGCAAAAACAGACGACCCAAGAGAAAATCCGGAAAAAACCCTGATCGCTATAACCAACTATCAGCTAAATACATGTCAGAATAGCTGTGTTCTGTCTACAATAGTTCACAAGAAGATTATGTGAAGTAACGTTCACTCATTGAGCTCAATCAAAATTAAGATTGAAATGTAGCAATTAAGTGAACCACAAGAATTTCCATTTGGCACATTAGGATAGGATTCTCTATATTTCTTTTCCAGGAACTTGGCCGACCTGGACAATGACGGTGCACTCAACTTTCAGGAATTCTGTATTGCGATGCATATTGTTGTTGCTGTTCGACATGGCTTGGAAGTCCCTGCTACCTTACCACAGTACCTGGCACCTGAGAAATATGAAACACAAGGTAAAATTAGAGAATTCCCATTATAGACTCATTTTAAAACTAGGCGCAATCACCACTAGACGCAATCACCACAAGACGCATTCACCACAGCCAGAACAAACATACTAAAATGAGTAAAATTGCAAAGTTTGGTTGCAAAATGTTGTAAAATAGGGAAAATGTAGCCTTGCAAAGTTTGCAAATTTTGTATGCCATTTTCGGCCCAAATATGGTAACAATTTCCACACGCAATACAAAAGTATAAAATTTGCGAACTTCGCAAGGCTATATTTTCCGCATTTTACAACATTTCGTAACCAAACTTTGCAATTTTACTCATTTTAGTACGCTCTTTTCGAGATTATACTTTTTTCGCCAAGATAAAAAATTAGTCTATGATGGGAAGAATTATTTTCATTATGTCTTTACACAAAAGATGGTAAATTTTGTACTAAGGAGTTAGTCTGTCTTGCAGCTGTCGCACCACAAATGGTTGAAACAAACAGTAATGAACTGTCACTGCAAGATTCATCTCAGGTAAATACATCTGTTTTGATCCTACAGCTAGGCAAAAGGCTTGCTTTATGGTGCAGTACTTTAACCATGTAATTGAATACTTTTTTATTTTTAATGACCAGTCGTGGGCTAGATTTTCACCGGATCCTCGAAATGAAATGTCTGAAACTGACGGACGAACGGTATGTTGATTCCCGATATGAAAAATTAGAATTCCATTTGGTATTTCGGCCAATTACCAATTGGAATGAGTTTTTCAATCCGAAATTCAATGGATTCCAACAGGAAAATTTAAATTTCTATTGGAATTTCCAATTGTTTCCAATCGGAATTTGGGCCACTTTGCAATAGAAATTCCCATTGGAATTCCAAATGGATTTTTAATTTTTTGTAATTTATATATAGAGAATAATACATGGGTGCGCGGAAATACCAGATTTATTTCGAGTGTTAAACATGATATCTTACTAGTCATCAGCGCAGCGAACGAGTGACATATCATGTTCAACACGAGAAATAAATCTGGTATTTCCAAGCATCCATCCTTTATTATATAAAGGACAGTCTTTGAAAGGGATAATTTTTACGCAAAAGCGATAATTTTCGCATGTAAAATTATCAAAAATAATCTCACATGTGAGATTATCAGTTTTATCAGTGCTCGAAATCTCTATAAAGCACTATACTTTATGTAATAAAAGGAAATAAAAAATAACTTTCTTATGTTCTTTTTCGTTGCAATCAAGTTGTATTTTACATTTTGTATACTCTTTCAATATATAGGCTCAACCAGTTGGTTCAACGGCTCAGCCAGGCACACAACACGCTCAGCCAGAAGGTCAACACGTTCAATCCCATGGTCAACACGCTCATCAGCCAAGCCAACATGCTCTCCAGACCAGCCAGCACACTCAACAACTTCGACAGCACCCACAAGCTGGCGGTGAGATCACGCAACATAATCAACAACCCACACAACCTGTTGTACAACATGAACAACCAGTTACACAACCCTCCCCACAAGTCCAACAACAACCCGCAACCCAACATCCATCTCTTCAACGAACTATGTCGGATCCTAGCACCATAGATGAAAACGCAACTAAGGACAATAGCAGCACTCACACACCTCGCAAAATCTCACTTGGTATACCTCGGGTTAGGGGACAACCCAAACAAACTAACTTATTAGACACACCACACTGGGCTATCCTTCCTCCACCTAGTAAATTCACCAAAGATAACCCGGAGGAAACTGGTAAGGGAAACCAGTTTGTCCCGACTGGAACAATAATCCCTGCCGACCCGGAAGATCACTCCGAACAGGTTAAACTTGAAAAACCGGATCAAGTGGACCGGACCAGGGATTCAGAATCAGACTCGAGCTCAAGTGAAACTGAACAAACAGTTAATAAAGAAAGACCAAAGTCTTTATCACATGAGGTCGATGATTCGGAATCATCTCTGTCTAAGAACAGTAGTGCGAATTCATTACGAGTTAGTCAAGATTCAGTTGATGGCGGGAAGAAAATGCCAGCACCTGTTCCTCCGCCCAGGAGAAGATCTGGTCATTCAAGATCATCTTCGTTGGATTTACAGAAGTTATTTAATAAAGGTAGGTAAATAAACGAAACTGAACAAAACAAAATTAACTCAATCTTAACTTTCTTGCCAAGACCTGGTTACTCCTTCCTTTTTTAACTATGTTTTTTTTTCTTCATTTTTGTAGGCGGGAATACTGCTTCACTGCAGGTAATATTTTGAAAATAATATTTTGGAAACACATCGTGAAACTCAGCAGTATTATTTTACATTATATAATATTTGGGTTTTTTTCTCAGAATGTCACAGATTATGCCAAGGAATCCACGCGGGAAACTCAAGAAAATTTTGCGAATTTTGATGATTTTAATAAATTTGAAAACACAACCGCTTCTCATTCCAATGAGAATATCGCACGATTCAGTCATAAAAGGTCCGCTTCGTTGGATAGTGCACATGTAAGTAGGAAATTTATCCAGCGAAAAGATGCAGCTAATTCAATTTTTCATTATAATTCTAAATTTTTGAAGTTCAAACAGTACGTATGTTTTATATACTGGTTTCGACCTATCTGTTGACCTACGTATTAACGTTCAGTGTTGTCTTTTCGTGCTTAGAGATCGATGTTCTGTGGTTGACCCTCAAAACACAACGTTTGAATTTTGCTGTACACTTGTAATATAGTAGCTAGCCTGCGTAGCGTCACTTCAATAACATAAAGCGACTGCTACACAGGCTATTTTGTAGCCTGAATTTCAGACGGCCTTAATATAGATGTGTCTTGTTATTAAAATATGTATAATACTGTTTGGACTTCAATGATTTGGATTCTTGCACTTCACTTGGTGGAATTAATATTAGAATGTTAGGGTTTGTAATCCAAGTGAGAATATATACATTTTAATATTAATTCCACCAAGTGAGGTGCAAGAATCCAAATCATTGAAGTCCACCTTATCACAACCCGCACACCCGATTACCTATATATACATGAACTTACGGTTACAGCTTAACAGCTGACCTCTGTAGCTCAGTTGGTTAGAGCGCTGCACCGGAATCGCAGGGCCGTAGGTTCAATTCCTACCAGAGGACCTTGTGCTGCATTTTTCGCAGTCGTTCCTGGTTAGGTCTTAAAATGTATATATTCTCACTTATAATACTGTTTTGCTTTTTTCCCGCCAACAGGCTCTGTTTGTGGAACCAAGTCCTCAGCCTGCTATTGTTGAAAATGTTGAAGGTTAGATATAATCTTGAACTGTCTTTGCCAGTGTGGGTAGTGCCATTCAAATGAACAAGCTTTCGTTGGTAGAAATGCAACTACCTGAAAAATATAAGGAGAATTTCAATATATTTTCAGGTAGTTTTATCCCTACTCAACGAAAGCTTGTTCAAGGTTTGATATACATTGTTTAAAATATTCTGGTTTATGCAGTGTGCTATGCAGTGGTCATAGCACGTTGTGTAAATAGTAGCTTCAACAGTTATATAGAGATGTTCTTCTTTAATTCAGCTAAAGATTCCCCAAGCGTTCGGCCTGAAGTTTCGGCGTCACTACCAAGACCAGTTCCTAAAAAGGTATGCATTTAAATTGTAATTATTGTTCACAGTTCGCTCATCATCATGTTATTGCTAAAATTAGTGTATCTCATTTTGTCTCTATTAATTTTTGCTTTATCATGAAAAATAGCAACCCCCCCCGGTAACCCCTCGTTTTCCCTCATAGAACTATCCAGTATACATACATGCAGTAAAGTTAGTTTAAATGTATTTTATCATTATAGAAACCAGCGAGTCCTCCACCACCATTGTTGAACAAACAGAAGAAAGAAGGTCAACAAGTCGACAGTGGATCTGACAATGTGATTGAAAAAGAGAAAAAGTCGTCTAAAGAACCCATTCACTTTGTTGTCAAGTAAGTTTCAATGAATATCATCATCATGTAATATTTTTATTTTCTTGACGTGAACATTTCTTTGTGTTTAGGCCATTAACAAGACTCGAGCAACTTCACGCTAAAATTCGAGATTTGAAGACAAAGAATACACGATTATCAAGGATAAATAACGAACTGCAACAGGAATTAAAAGAGGTAACAAATATCTACCAGACCTTAAGTTAGGTTTCTTAAGAGTTACGATTCTGTAAAATATATGTAAAATGTTCCTCAATGTTACAAATGCAAATGTTCCTCATTTGAAGTTTTTAGAGCGATCGCCTTTCACCTCTGAAATCGTGGGCTCTTGTTCCGGACTCATCACTCATGATACTGGTGTAAAATGAGTCAGTCGGATACTCTGGTTTCCTCTTAACCTGTTAGCTATGCAGACTAGTTTCCTCTTACAGGGAATTCTAACCCTTCTATCCTAGCTGTGTTCCGTTCCGTGATGCGACCATGCATTGGTCATGGCGTTCTTCATAATTCACCTCAGCCCTCAGCTACAAGTGAAGGCCTGTTTACTCTTGCAATTTCTAGTGCGATTTTCCTCTTATGATGAATGTGAACGCGTTATGAATGTTCAGATGAGAGTACATATACTCAGAACATTAATAGCTCGTTCACACGCATCAGAAGAGCAAAATCTCGCTAGAAATCGCAGCAAAAATTGCAAGTGTAAAGTGCGATTTTCTCCTTCTGATGTATGTGAACTAGCAGATGAGTTACAAATGTTTGGAGTACAGTAACCCTCATCTGAACTTTCATAGCTCATCCACTCGTTCACATCCATCAGGAGAAGAAAATCAGCGGCAAAAATTGCAAATGTAATCGCACCTCCCTATTTCCACTTACCAAATGTTTTGCCGTATGTCTTATCAACATTTCATTTTCTTTACAGATGATGGAAAAACGAGTCGGTCTCGAAAGCTCGCTGGAACAGTTAAAGCCATTCGCCAAGTGATTTCAAAATGGAGATGAAATGATTTTTTCGAGTTTTCTAAACTTTGCTTAAAAAGCACGAAATGATAGCGTATTGTACGGAGGTTTTTGAAACTTTTGGCTTCAACAATTCACCATTTGCCTTCAGTGGTGGCTTAGAAAAGAACACAAGACTATTGCTGGATAGATGATGATTTAAAAATTGACCCCTGGGATTTCTATTTTGAACTTACAAATTGTAAATTTCAGTAGTTAATATTCATAATAATTCTTGTTGATTCCTAGCTTTTAATGTGCCACCAAAGAAATTGCCAATATAGTGAATTTATTTATTTTAGCGTAAGTTTTCAATAGAGGCCATGTAATAATTTGTATATAAAACAAATAATGACAGATCTTTATTACTTTGGTTGCATTGGTGACTTACATTTATTTATAACTTATAAGGTTACCTAGAGTCAGTGGCGGAAATTCACTTTTTCCGGTGGGGGGGGGGGGGCAAAGCCTCCTAAACGAAAAGGCCGTTTTTAGCCTTCTTTAGATCAAATTTTCCGAAAATTCGTGAAATGTTCCATTGCGAATGTTCATTGTGAGACGCAAACGACGGTTGACTCTTACCAGGCTTCAAAATTTCATGTGCGCTGCCGTCCACGCAAGCCACGCGCACAACGCGATGTCCACGCAGGTACACGAAGCGCGGGAAGTTCCAACATGGCCGCAAATTTTTTTCGAAATTCTAAACCGGTTAATATCTTGAACAAATTTTATCGACATGTATCCTTTAAACCTTATTGAAACCATAATATTTTACTCATAAGGTGTTGTATTTTGTGTTTATATATTTTTTTTTTCTTAACTTGACCGTAGCTGTATAAAAATGGCAGGTCATTTTCAACAAACGAGGTAGGGTTTTTAATATTAAAAGGTGGTTAATAGTTAATAGTTGCGATATTTTAACAATTAAAATGTAAATGAGGTTAATTTTAAATGACTAAAATTTGTTGGAAATGAAAAGTAAGTTAAAAGGGAAAGTAAGCAAGTAGCTGTTGGCCATAACTTCCATGGCTGTTGAAAGATTTTGCAGATGGAAATTTCAGGTGTGAATTTTATATATTTACCTAAATTTTCAAAAGTTGATGCGGCTTTTTTTCATTATTTTAAAGATGCTGTAAAGTCTGTTCTGCACATCAGTTCTGCTCGTAACAAAGGGGGACCCACAGATATAAGCAGGGCCTCTCTGAGAGAAATTCGGGGGCCCGGACCAAATTCTTAATTTGGGTCCCTATTTTTCCCCAAAAATGTTGGTGAGCAGGGTGGAGGAGTGGGGAAGTAAATTTTTTTCCCGGACATTTCCAAAAAAAACAGCTCAAAAAATGTTTCCGCACAAATACATGTAAAAACACGGGAAAAACACTTTTTTTCAGACCAATACCAATAAAATGAAGGTCTAAAAAACGTTCCAAATAATTTTTTTACTCATATTGCACCTTTTGTGGCCCCCCCTTTTGCAAATTTTGGGGCCCCCTTTAACTGGGGTCTGGGGCAAATTGTCCCCTGAGAGGCCCTGGATATAAACATTGCCCAAATTTTGCATCTTTCTAACTTTTTTGAATTGAAACACAAAGTTTATATTTGTGTACTAGCATAGCGAACAAGAAAAGTGTTAGATCATGGGCGTACCGGGCGGAGGGGATGGCAGCCCCCCCCAGTTTGTTGGGCAAACAAAGCCAGTCGGGCAATATTCGTTTCACAGTCGGGCAATATTGGCTTATTATAAAAATAAATGGGACAAATTCTGTCAATTTTGTGGGAAATTCTGTCAAATTTGTGGGAAAAATATGCTATCTAATAGGAATTTTTCGTAATCACTCCTCCCGACAACGCGGGCAAAATCCGAAAAAGTCTGGCAAATTTCTTTCCGCCCCCCTATTTTTTCCTTCCCGTACGCCCATGTGTTAGATATTCAGTTTGTATACAGGGCCGTCCCGAGGGACTCGCTTCAGGGGGGTGTTTGGTTAAATCTACCTGAAAGTATCAAAAGTTCGAAATTTACCTGAAAAATATTTTTTTATCTGAAATTTTTTTTGGGCGACCTCCCCCCCCAATTTTCGGTCAGTGTACCATTTTAGGGGTCAAAAATTTTTTCCGGACATACCAAAATTTTTCGTGATGTAAAAAATTTTTTTCCAGACATCAGCAATTTTCTCCATTTATCCAAAAAAATTTTCTAAAATCCAAAAATTTTCTAAAATTTTTGTAAAGTAACCTCATTTTCCAAATTCACACTTATTTTTGTAAATTAACTTTCTCTGGGCCTAGAAATTACCTGAATTTGTGTTCATTTACCTGAATTTATTCTGCAAATCTACCTGGATTTACCTGAAATTGCCCACATGCACAATTATGGGGGGTGTTACACCCCCACACCCCCTTGGTCGCTACGGCCCTGTTTGTATATCATATTTTACAAATATAGCAGTTCAAAATTATGTAAACAAAGCGTTTGTTTACATTACGGATCTTTGAATGTGTCAAACGCTATAGTTCAATTGTTAAAAATGATATAGTTTTCCACCATTCAGAACCCCAACCCAATTGTGTGTGAAACCAAGGGCATAGGAAGCTTGATAAACTGGGGGGGGAGCTCAGTTCTATGAGGTGCCTAGCCCTCCTGCTTTCTATGCTCTTGTGTGAATATGGTTTATACCCATTTCTGAAAATAAATATTTTCCTTGTTGCCAGGATGTTGTGATAGTAAGTGCAGTTCGAACTCCAGTTGGTTCTTTCAGAAGTTCCTTATCATCAGTTCCTGCAACAAAACTAGGTTCGGTTGCCATCCAAGCTGCCATTGAAAGAGCTGGTAAGGGCCAAACTTAATCCATTAAAACTTGGCTTCAAATTGGACTATGCCAGGGGCACTGTATTACCAGTTCTCCAAAATACTGCTGCCTGTATCTCTAGTGTTTGTGCACTTGGTCAACAGTCACCCCTCCTCCCCCCCCCCCCCATTACTTTACACATATTCATGCATTTCTTTCATTGCAAATAGTCGGCCGGCCAAGGTGGCAAAAAGTGCCTCTAAGAGAGTTTGATGGCAACTTTATGTTAGAAGCTGGTAACAGGCATTTTCTTATAGTTCAAGCCTTGGTGAATAAGACTGTATGTGTTACCACTTCTGATTTTTGCTTTATAGCCAAAAAATTGAGAATTTTAAAATTTTGCCTATTAAATTACTATGATGGCAAAAAATGTAAAATTTCATGTTCTCTTGTACAAAAAAATAAACTATACCACTAGAAAGATCGCAAAG